CAAGGGGAAGTAAAACCCCCCCGAGGGCAAGGTTGGCAAAAAATTTTTTTTTTTTTTTTTTTTTTTTTGGAGCATTGTTGGTTTTTAGACCATTTTAGATGCAATCATTTGGTGACAGATTGAACAAAACTGGTGGAAATGTTACGTATCATTTTCATCTAAATGATTTTAATTTAGATAGACTATTTAGACAAAACACTTTTTCACTTTTTTTTTTTTCAGTGAGATGTGTATACTTAACCTTTTGTTGTGTTTCTTTTGACGAAAAAACGAGGAGGCTGACAAGAAATAGAAGTCATGAAAGGAAAGCTCGTCATTATCGCAGCATCAGTGTGTCAGCAGGTATTCACCAGCTGCATCCTTCCTGTCATCGTTCACTCAAGTCTCAGAGCTACACTGTGTGAAAAAACACACATCAGATACAAATTGTTTAAGGCACAATAAAAGATAATCACAGTCATTATTATTACTGTCAGCAGCCGTCTATAGGCATCTGTTGTCATATACCTGCGATGACACAGGACGCTTGAATCTAAACACCACAAACACATCAGGGGTCAAAACACTGTGTCAGCAGATGTAAACAAGTGGTGACCAGACCTCTGGTAGGTTCACATGAAATCCAGTTTGTTGTGAGGCTGGAGGTCTTTACCCACAGCTTCACATGGTGTTTCAGTGTCAGACAGGGTTTATAGTACAAGCTACTCTGGATGTATTGGATTTTTATCTCCACATGATATTCAGCAGCAACGAGGAGCCGACTCTGAGTTGGGGGTTTTCCTATCTTGGAGAGAGAGTGGCAACACTCGGCTGTAAAGTTATGATAATAACGATGTTAACTTTCTGTTCCAGGTCATAATTAAAAACTCTCCTCTTTTCTTCTTCATGTCTCCTTCCAGGACAAGGTCGACGAGGAGTCACCTTTTGCCAGGTACTCCAAATAGAGCAGTTGTCAAAAAGAGAGGATTTTTGACCGACCAGCAGCAACTTTGGGTCTAAATGAACACAAGAAAAGGAAAAGAAAAACCCTTAAATATCAGTGTAGATTCAAATAAACACTCAGATCTGACTCCTCCACACAGATAAACTCCACCCTCCAGATAAAGAAAGCTCTTGTCTGGGTTTGATGATGAGGTTTACCAAAGAAGGTCAGAGCCACTTACGTGTGTGTGTGTGTGTCAGTTTTAAGCTAAAGGACTGTGGACTTCTGGGTAACTTCAACTATTGTGACACTTTTTTTTACTGCCAGTAGAAACATCACAGAGACGTATATATGGCAAGAATTGACGTAAGTTAACAAAGGTTGATTTGTCTAATGACTGTGAACCTACGCAAATGACTTGTGACGGTTTGACTGACCTCTCATGTAAGGACCTGATTTTACAATGACTCAAATCACCCAACACAGTGAGAGTAAAACCACACCGAGGTCAAGGTTGGTAGAAAAGTTTTTTTTTTTTTTTTGG